GAGAAATCTTCTGTGTTGAGAATGGTTTGTTAGCAAAAGGAAATTCTGACTATTTTTAGTACGCTATAGTCAGATTGTCATTATTCCCGGTTTAAATTCTCGTGCAGTAAATTCATTGAGGAGCACACTGTGTTCATGTAGAAAAACGTTTACACAAATAGATAGCTTTTTTTTTGTGCCTTTTAGAGAAATAATGATAAGAGAAATCTTCTGTGTTGAGAATGGTTTGTTAACAAAATAAATGCTAACTCTTTTTAGTATGTTATAGTCAGATTACCATTATTCCCGATTTAGATTCTCATGTAGTAAATTCATTGAGAGACGCACTATGTTTATATGGAAAAACGCTTATACAAAGAAGTGGTTTTGTATTTGTGCCTGTTAGAGGAACCACGATGAAAAAAATTATCTGTGTTGAGAATAGTTTGCTGCAAAAGAAAGTATTGTTAATGGTATCAATGAATTTGTGGATTACATATACCTTTTCTTTGTGTGTCATTCTTAATATCTTTATCGAGGAAATATATGTTAGTTAGCAATATCAACTGAACAATAAAATATCTTTTATATTTAATATTTGATCAAAACTACTAAAGTCAAAGAAAAAAATAATAATCATAAAAGTATATAAACATCATCTTTTGACCTTCAATAAAGCTCAACATTCATATAATCATTGAAATAAACTATTAAGATATAACAAACCTTTTAAATCTCTTTAAAATGCCATTTGCAAGTATTCGTATTTCTAAGGGATCAAAAACCATCCACAGATGGTATATTCATCCCATTCCTTATGAAATGACAATTAAAGATTTTTTTGTAAAACTTACAACTGGAGCGCTATCTTTCGAATATAATATTGACACTATAAACCCTGAAACAATAGAACGCGTTGAGATAAGCGAGATACAGGACGCAACCACAACTCAAGTCAGCCTTAACTGTAATATCATAGAAGTTACAAAAAGTGTAGGAATACATATACATTATCGGCTCAAAAAAGATAATATAAATTCTAATTTGGAACCGCAGCGAAACAGCTTCACAATTCTAATGGAAAATGCACGCCGAACTCAAATATATTTTCCAACTT